ATAATAATAATAATAATAATAATAATAGGAAACCCAGGATGGCTCGGATGTTTCTCAAGAGTTCCCCTAATCTGGCCAAAGTTCAACGACAGTGGATGACTTTCCCAAGGAGATATGGTGGCCAGCGCGGCTACCCACGGAAACTGAGGGTGTGTTCTAGGGCTCCGTCCCAACCTTACGAAGGTTATTCTTTACATGGTTGTGGTGGGTTTTTCGGGCTCTTTGGCCGTGTCCTGAAGGCTGTTCTTCCTAACGTTTCGCCAGTCTCTGTGGCCATGGGCATCTTCAGAGGACAGCACTCTGTGCTCTGTATTCTTTACACTTTGATGGGATAGTAGCTTAAAGGAAAAAAAAAACCAGTTCCCCCATGCTCTGGGCACAGGATGTCCCTTGTCCGCCTCCCCCAGGAACCTTTGCCCTAACCTGGTGCTCCCTGGTTCACAGGCCAGGCCAAGAGAGCCTTCCCAGAAGTTCCTGCACATTTCCGATCTGCAGGCGCTGCAGAAAGGCGCCGTCTTTCACACCCCCAAACATCTCCCTCTCTTTTGCAGCTCTTGGCTTCCACTGGACAGAAGGGTGGGGTTTCAGAAGACGATTCAGCATCCCTTTTAAAGCAAAACTCACCCACACGCTCATGGCATCCTTTGCCATTCCCTTCAGTAAAATATGCCAAAAATGTTCTTGGGGGGCAAACCAAGGATTCCGTGCAAGAATTAAATGTGACCGTAAGAGGCAAGACAGTTTGCGGAGGGCGAATTGGGAAGCCATGGAAGGGTCCCTCCGGAACCTAATTTTGAGGGATGAGGAGAGAACACGACAAGAGGCTCCTATAGTCCAAAATTTAAATCACAACATCTTTTTTTCCTGTTACTTGAGAGGAGGATATAGGAGAGATGGAGCCGGACAAGGGCAAATTCAGCCGTGAGAAAACATGGCTGGGGCCCACGCTTACCTTTTCCCCTCTTGGTTCTTTCTGTGGCTCATAAATTCATGGAAACCCCCGGGGGAGGCCACCTCCAGAGTCCAAAGGCCAGGAATGTTTGGCAGAGATGCCGACTGGGAGTCCAGAGGGTTTGGTCCGAGGCAGGAGCTGAATCCCAAATTCCTTTCCAAACAGATCAAAGGTCCTTCTGGTGGCAAGGAGAAAACTCTCGGAGGACTCACCCATCCTACAGTGCCTGTGGGGAACCATTAGGATCCACGGAGAGGAGTTTAAAAGAAGGGAAATGGGGAACATTTAGGAGAAAAGCATCCAAGGGTTGAACGCTCGAGAAGGTCTCCCCCGAAATGTTCCATCTCCGGTTCTCAGGACTGGGTTTTTCTTTTAATGTTAACAACTTCATATTTACTTTCCATTTAAATTTGAGATGCTGCTATAAATTATCAACCAGCCTCTTGTTCCCTTTGAGTTTATAACTAACTACCTGGGTTACTTATTGTTCAGGTAACAAAAGGGAGGTGAGAAAGCCCTGAAATAGGGACCTCGGGACCTCGCAGAAGCAAAGGGAGGCTTGAACCCAGGGCAAGCAGGCCAGGGAAGGGAGAATTGCCAG